CCCCTGTATCTGTTACTAGAAGTTCTCACTACTGTTTTTACCCGCTGTCTCCACTGACTCGTACCTGTGTTGCATCCTATATACAGCTGTGTGGTCCTGGCCTGATGCTGTTGCATGAGTGACTTGTAAGAATGTCTGTGACTGACCAGTGACATTCTGGTCAGATGTCTGGACAGTAAATGTCAGCAGCCTTGTCTCTCTGTCAGAGTGGAGTGTGACGATGGGAGCAGTGAGACGGTGTTTCTGCTCAGTGGCCACGACCAGAGGATCCACCTGTACAAGGAGGTCAGTTCAGAGGCTGTGTGTGAGAGACAGACAGATTTAATCCTGTCCTTCCATTTCAGTACACTTGTTTAAATGTAAGCATGGAAATGATGATGTATTTAAATGAGAATGTTCTTAAGTGCAGGTATAGTTTTTAACCCTAACCTACAGCTAATCCCATTTACATAACTCGTTTTATTGTGATCATTTATCAAAAATACTTTATCATGTTGTTTAACTTTGTTTTGAGTTTGAGTTTAACAATCAACTGCTTATCGAATGGAAATGGGAAAACTAAACTACTATTAATCCTACATTTAAAGGCTTTTACAGTTAAATACTGTTCATCAAAAGACCACTGTCTCTCTGTGTGCAGAGCCTTTCACTGGAAACTTGTGAAAAAAACACAAGATTAGTTTGGCAAAACAGTTTCCTCTCGCGTTAGAGGTTATGCTGCCACTTAAGCTCACATCACATTATCTTCTTCAGTAGATGGTGTTTGTCTAGTTGTTAGGGAAATGTATATACTCATCTGAAGGACTCCTTGTCAGTGTTGGCTTAAATGGTGAGTGTTAAAGTTCAGCCTTGACTTGTGAAACAGCAGCTGACAACAGAGTTCATCAGAAGGCTCATGGGTTTCAAAGTGCTGAAAGCTACAGGAAGGCTTTTCTAGCAAGAGAGATAAGACAGTGATGAGCTTGGTTTCATTTTGCCAACATCGGCCTGACTGTCCCGTTTCCAACAGAACGCCTCTCTGCACCAGTTTGAGGAGCAGCCAGTGGAGAGACTCTTTCCTGAACTACAACAACTGCCCAGCAAGTGAGTCTGTGCCTTTAGCTATGCCAGCTGTGTGTGGTGAGGGATCAGTAACACAACAGGGCAGTTGTGTTTCAGGTGATAGCACCTGGCATTGAATACTTCATCAAGTTTGGTACTTACTCTGAAAAATGACTAGTCTTTATAGCTTCAGAGAGATGCAGTGCGAGGTGAAGACTGGTCTGTACTGCTGAGAGAACAATGGTGGTGTGCTTGACTTTTATGCTGATGAGAGAGAGGCTATTGAACTGAATGCAAATTTAAACGCGCTATCATTTCTAATGTCAAGTCATCAGGCCTTGTGGGTCTTGCTCATGCTGTCAGGAGGAGTGTGGAGAGGTTGGGAGATGTTAGTACATATAACATCAGTACACACTGGTACTGGGTTATAGCCAGATTGTTTATAGACATCTATTATTATACCTTATTGTTTCTGTTATCGTAGGTGCCACAGTGGTGTGGTGGTTAGTACTGTTGCCTCACAGCAGCAAGGTTCTGGGTTCAAGTCTCGACCTGGGGCCTTTCACTTGGAGTTTGCATGTTCTCCCTGTGCCTGCGGGGATTTCCTCCAGGTACTCCAGCTTCATGCAGGTTAGGTTGACTGGTGAATTGCCTGTGGGTGTGAAGGGTTGTGTCAACCCTGTGATAGACTAGTGACCTGTCCAGGGTGGATCCCGCCTCTCACCAAGTGTCAGCTGGGATTGGCTCCAGCCCCCTGCTGTCCTCTATATGATAATTAGTTATAGGTGATGGATGGATGACAGGAAAGCTTTCTTTATAAAGATGCAGTCATTCTGTTTGTAGTAATTACTAGGAAAGTATGTCAAAATCTCATAGAAAGTATAAAACAAGAAAGATTTCTCACTATAACAAAATGTTCAAATATTTTCAGTCAGTAAGCAAATCATCAACGGTGTGTGATTCTTAATCCTCCGTGCTGCGCTCCCCTTTACTCACCCAGTGTGCTGTGGGTGGATATGCTGAGCATAGCTGGCGGCCAGCGACTCTCAGCGTTCGGCTGTCAGAATGGCTGCGTTGGACTGGCTCTGGTAAAGCAGACGGGGCCAGGTGAGTGAGACCAAACCCACACTGAAGGCTGTCTGAGAGTTAGACATGTTCTGCTCTGTTCCATTACAGCTGCTTTCTGTTCAAAAAGAAAGGAAGCACATCATCACAGAGCCAAGATAGAAACCTATGTGGTTCAGTGGATGGTAATGAGAGAAAGACACAGGTCAAAAGTTGGATGTGACAAACTGATGGTAAAAAAATAAACAAACAAAAATGGACTATAGGTTAACAGTACAATTTATATTCATGAAGTGGAGTAACAGTTTGATATGGAGAGGGACGTATTGCACACGTGTTGCAGTTTAGGTCCTGGATTTAGTTTATTACGCTCACAGTCAGATATCATCAGTACACTAATCAACAACTGGGGATTCATTATGATGACAGTATTGTGTCTGTGCTGCAGTGAACGGTTTTGTGAGTATGAAAACTGGTCCTAAAAGCTTCTCTGAAGGAAGCTTTAACGTTTGTGTCTGTTACAATATGTGATTAATGGCATCGTATCCAGTCTTGGTTCTGTATTATAGTAATTGAAAGATGCAGCTAGTAATTGTTACTGTAGTGCACGGCTGCTTTCTGGTTTGAAGGCGGTCGTGTTTTTCTCAGAAGTTCTGCAGAGCTGGCGGGTCCAATTGGACAGTCCGATATCCACAGTGCTGCTCTTCCCTCTGGGCTGCCAGACTGATCTGAGCCAGTCCAACGGGGACAAAAGTAGGTTACTGCTCTGTTGTAGTGTGTCTCTTTTTCATTTTGCTCTTTGTGAATGTGCACGGTTAAGTGCAAGATTGTTCCTTTTTCTTCAGGTGTGGAAATGGAAGGCTACAATCTTCTGGTGACCAGTACCATTGAGATGGCAGTTGTCTACCGGTTAGAACCAGGCAGATTCACTGGGACTTTTACTGACATGTCCTCTTTGTTGTTTTTAGGGCAAGGCAAAGTAATGTTGTCTTTGTGTGACTATGCTCTCTCAGAGATGTCCAGGAGTGTGGTTTCTCTCGCTCCGTGTGCCTCTCAGAGAGCGACCACTGGGACGCAGTGCTTTGTGCTCTAGTCATTGACCTGGATTTTGACAGACAGAAGGAGGTGCTCTTGGGAACATATGGACAGGTCAGGGCGTCTCTTTATTACTGACTTCATTAGTAGTTCTTTATCTCCCATGAAGTCAGCCTTAGAAATTCTAAAGGCTGGCAGTATTCTCTATTCCCATGAACTCATTAAAATGCCGAGTGGTTATGACATGGCGCACCCTGTAATCTGGGCAAGCACGCTGCGCGCATGATGTCGGCGGTTCGACTCTGACCGCCAACATTTGTCACAGGTCTCTCTCCCTCTGTCTTCCTTGTTTCCTCTCCACCTCTCTGCAACCTACTGTATAATAAAGGCTAGAAAAAAATGCATGAAAAGACCAAAACCAGCAATGTGTTAGTCCATCTTTGTGTCAGGAACCTGGAGCTCCAAGCTCGTTGTTTCCTGCTGGAGATGTACATTTTTGTAGATTTTAAGAAGCCTTATTCAAATAAAACATTACAGCCTTTGATTAATACAACTAGTGAATATTTCCAGCAGCAGAATGGTGTATGTGGGATTGAGTCTCAACAAACTACAACACCCATGTTCATCATTATAAAGGAACTTGTCACCCAGTGCTGCAGTGTGGCGCACCGATGTCTAGGTTTTCAGACAATAATAGAGTTTTGTGGTACATAGGAATATACACTCATGGTGCTTGTTAGTAGACACGCATTGTAGGTGTTGGTCTTTTCATGTGGTTTGCAGACAATAGGAATTCTATAGAATAGCAGCAGACTTAGACATATACAGTTGGTCCAGAGGAATTAAAAAGTGACAGAATAGAATACGTCATTCAGGCCTGATGTGGTGAGATGGGTTTGATAACAGTTTTATCTACCTCTCTGCTGTGCAGGAACTTCTGTGTTACAAATTCCAGCCGGCAGGGAGCGGAGCAGATGGGCAGTTTCAGCTGCAGTGGAGGCGGAGCTTCAAGAGTCCTTTGCTGTCCATCATCTACTTAGACTTGACCGGGGACGGTTTGAGAGAGCTGGCTGTCCTCACACTGAAGGGACTGCATATCCTACAGGTATGCAGCAGAAAGCTGTTGCAGAGCTTCCTTGCAGGATCATTGACTCTCTGCTGTGCTTCTGCAGTTCTGCATTACAAATGGCATCTTCCCAAATCAAAAAAAGCTGAGACTAGAACTCATGAAAGACATTGTTTCTAGTGTAGAAGTGAACAGAAACCAGTACCAAGTACTAGCCTCTGCTGGCCACCAGCTGAAATTGCAGCAAACTCATTTGACATCATTACAGCAACTCACAGAGCTGATATTTCTTATAAATCCCACAGGCCTCTAACAGATCTCATGTGATGTTGTGTTCTTTGTCTCCTCTCTGTCTTTTCAGCATAGTCTTACCAGCACGGCTGATTTGGTCCTGGAGCGGCTTGCCCAGAGGGTGTTGGCACTGACAGCTGGCTCTGAGCCGGAGTCGGCCAAAGTTCAAGACACCGAGGAGAAAGATGCTCCAACTAAGAAAGAAGAGTGTCCAGCTCAGACACCACCAAATTAAGCAGAACTGTGCATGTTGTGTACATGTGAAAGTCCCAGTGGGTCAGAGAGATGAGCTTGCCTTCTTTAAAGGTGCTGTGGTTTCTCAGGGGTGTGTGTTACTGAAGAGTTAAATTTAGTTGGGATGACAGGCACTAGTTAGAAAATCAAACATCCAGTTCACCATTCCAAACAGTAGCAGTCTGCTTTGCACATACATGTAGGCAATAGCAAGATAACTGTTGGAAATCTGTTTCAAATAAAACCAAATGAGCGCAGTTCATTGGAATTGTGTAATGATGTTTTCCACTGTGAGAGGATGAGCTATAGATAGATGGTGTACAGTAATGTGCTGATATTAAATGGCACATTTGGGTCTCTAGACCTTTTTGAGTGTTCATCTCCTGTGCTCTTCCACTATTAATTAAATGTTTTAACAAGCCAACACAGACACCACTGGAGAGGGGGTATGTGTGCAGACTTCCTTGTTATCCCATCTCTGAGACTAGTGCACATAGTTTTGGGTAGTGACACCTCTCATTAGAAAACTCCAGAATAAAGTGGAGCTGGATCAGGATCACACCTATAAGGCCTCAACTAATTATTATTATTATTTTTATTCTTAATTAATCTGTTGATATTTTCTCCATTATATTATGAAATCTAAGGAAATGTGGAAGTTTCCTAAAGCCCAAGGTGATTAAAGAGCTGCAAGCAGCCAGTCTTTTCTAGAAGAAGGATTTAAATGATGATTATTATTAAAATAGCTGCCACTGCATCCGAAGTGACTGGTTAGAGGATTCATTGTTTCCGATGTATTTCTTTATTGTGGACATGAGACCAAATGACAGACGTTTATTGCCCACAGCATAAAGGTCCCGGTGCTCTTACTTTACCTGAGGTGTCCTGGTTTGGGAAAATAGTACAAGAAAAATGAAAACTAGAAAAACATTACGGCAACAAAATAGTGTTAAACATTTGGTAAGCTACAAAGCTATTTAAGAAGTTCCAATATATTCAATATTAACATAGTGAGAAGAAGAGGAAGAGCAGTGGCCATATGCTTTAGATGGATGGTTGCTGCTTTGGCCTCGTCTTGTGGCCGGTCAGTGGCACTGTAGTCCTCCAACCAGTCCTCCAACCAATCCTCTCCTCTTGCGTTACAAAAGCAGCAATAACAACAGCTGCACTTATCACAGAAATGGCGTGAAGATGACTTAAGAAAGCAGGTTTTCAAAGCGCCTTTTCTCGCGAAACTGTTGCGCTTGTTCCAAAGCCTGATGTGCTGTCAGCCTGTTTCACAGCTTTATGTGAAGGCGCGGGTGCTTTTGCGCGTCAACAATAAAGACCACGCTTCTGGAGCGACGCGTGAAATGAGCGCATTTCGCTCAGTTGCTTGGTATATTTAGCTCTGGGAGCGGAGAGCAGCGGAAACAGGACCCTGACTCCGGTGCTGTCTGACGTTTTGAGCTTTTTCAGACCGTTTCCAGGCCCCATAACTTGTCGTTCATATCACGGTGCGCGTGATCAGGCTATGTGGTGTTGAGGGCGCTGTGCGTGAGGGGGGATCGCGTGAATTTATCTACAGCTCCGGGGAAGAAGGATGATGATGGCCGGTGGTGGCGGAGCAGCCATGGACCATAACGGGATATACTCGAATCCAAACCTCCACAGCCTGCAGCAGCCCCACATGGAGGCTGATAACCCGGACTCCCGCAAACGACCGCTGGAGACTCAGGCGGAGGAGGCCGGCTGTACCAAGCGCACCAACACCGGAGGTAAGACAGATACACGATAAGAGCCACCTCAGCCGGAGTTTCTCCAACCACACAAAGTCATGTCTGCTGTTGTAGGTAGCTACTGCTCATGCATGCACTGGTGGAAATGTGACGGCAAAACTCCACCTTCACTACCCCCCCACTGCAGGTAAAGGAACCCTGTGCAGCAGAGAATCACATTTGGGCCGCAAATTAAGCTGTAACCCGTGCACTTGGCACTTTGAAAGACTGTGTGTGTGGCTGTTACTTCATGCTCTGCATCCTGTATATTAGAAGGGAGGAGTGAATGTTATCAGCTCAGGTCGACTTTGAATCTGAACCCTGTCACTTCCCTGCTCCACATCTGGATGTGTGCTATGAAGTCTTACATTCAGTGGAAAAGTCATAATACTTTAATATGTTATAAAGAAGCATTCACAATAACTGTTTGTTTATCAGTGATGTTATTGTCTCAAACATGGATTAACTGGTAGGCCACACTCTCATCACCACTTGCAGACAGATTCCTAATCAACTCTAGTTATTTATAGGTTGCGGAGTGAGCTGAATCTCAGCATCTGGATAGTGTTTTTGTTAGCCTATGGTGAGGTTTTAGAAAGTTTCTACTGTGAGTGAACTGTATGATGGTAAATTCTTAAATAGTAAAATGCTAAAACCTTAAATCAGAAAAAGTTTGGATGGTGTGTAAAATCAAAATTAAAACTGAAAATAGTGATGTGTGAATCATCTGTGTCCTGTATCACATTGAAAGCAACACAGCCACATTATTTGATGTGACACCTCATCAGTTTTATTCTTTGTTCAGAATAAACACACTTCAATCCTGATGCTGCAACACATTCCAAAAAGTTGGGACAGTAAATCATTTATCACAGTGTGATGTTTCTGTTCCTTTTCACAACACTAAAGGACGTTTAGGGACTGAGGACACCAAGTGATGAAATGTGTCAGGTGTCATTTTGTCCCATTCCTCCTGTAAACTAGTCTTCAGGTGTCCAACAGTCCTGGGTCTTCCATCACAGACGTTTTTAAACATTTCAATAATTTTCTCACACATGTGTTGGTAAACTGGCGGCCCTCGGCCCATCTTTGCTCCTAAAGGGCTCGGCCTATTCTGGATGCCACTGTTCTACCAAGTCATGATGCAGTCACCTGATGACATCACCTGTTTCAAATGAAATCATCATTTCATTGTTTTACCTCAGTACTGGCCCTGAAATGCAAGCGTCCCAACTTTTTGGGATTGTGTTGCAGCATCAGAATTGGGAGTGGTTTGTTTTTTTTTTAATAAAGAATAAAACTGATGAGGTGTCACACCTGCTGTATTATTTTCAATGTATTACAGGACACAGATGATTTACACATCACTATTTTCAGTTGTAATTTTGAGTGTCCCAACTTATTCTGCTTTGGGGTTGTAATTCAAACCAAGTGCCCAGTGAGCAGAGCTAGTGTAGCTGTTGTCAGAGAGAACAGTTGTTGGTTTCATCTCCCCCAAATAAAAATGTTAAACTCTCACATTTAAATTAAAGGATAAAAACCAACTGGAAAACTTCAGGGATATCAGGGTATAGTGGGAACACTGAGAAGTATTCAGTGACTACAGAAACACTGCAGCGCCATTTTAGCAAATTGATTCTGGCTTCTTTGTGTGGCGGAGAAGTGGTGGTGGTCAATAAGCAATCAACAAGAAGCCTGTGCACACTTGCTTTATTAGTCACCAGTACGATGTCGGGGTGAAGATGACGTCTGATTCAGAATGCCTGCTACTGTACATCTCATTTTGGCTTGTGATTGTTATGGTCTACACAGCTCACAGGGACCACTTACTGAAGAACTTCGTGTTAATTAGCTGCCTACGGAGAATAGGCGGTTTCTTCACCATATGTTACTGAAAATTGTCTATGCCCCAGACACATTTCCATCCAGTGATGGCGGCATTATATCCTATTTCTAACAGCATGAGTGCATCTTTGCTGCACTTCAATGCACCTCCGAATTGTTATTTCAGCAAAAAAGACCCTTGTGCCACTAGGCAGTGTTTTAGAGCAGATTCAGCACCCATATGGCCTCCATTAACAGCCCTAAAACCACTGTAGATCAGAAAGTCACATGGTGTTCCTGCTTCTAGGAGGGTTTTCATCATTTTTAGCACAGATTTCACCAAGATCCAATATCAAGGTGGTGTGATTGGCTAGATGTTGTAAAATTGCCTGTTAATGGATCCTAAAAATACATAATTTACAGGGACAGTTACAACTATTTACTGCTGTCATTGCTATAATGATATTTCACACCCTTTTATCAGCTTGACTCCATCTTTCATTTAAGGTATCTCTGTATCATAGACTCCCAGACAATTAAAATAGGGAGCGTGATTATCCAGTAGGTAACATTTGAAAAACACAGTGTCTAACTCTAAAGATTTGTCCAGAAATGTTACAGATGGCTTCTTAAACAAGGTCTAATTTATGTTGAATACCTCATGACATGTCTATGTGAATATATATTATAACTATAATAACTAGTATAAATGTAATATCTGACTTTAATAATTAAAACTAATAATTAGTTTTGTAGAGCCTTGGTTTTTAACATGCACACCCTTCATTTCTAATAATAAAGCTTGGTATGTTCCAAGTCATTTAATGATCAAAGTGCAGCCTTGTGTCTGTGTGAAATCTCACTGACGCAATAGAAACACATACTAAAGGCCCAGGGTAGCTGGTTCGGGAACCTTCTGTCTTTGCAGCTACTGAAATGTGTATTTCTCACACACACACTTTATTTATTGTATAGCTTGACCTGAACAGCTGAGCCAAACAGCATCAACACAGGGTAATTTGTGTCATGTAGCAACATTCTGCAGGCTCTATATTACTCTCCATAATGACTGGAAATGTATTTAAGGCATTTTATTCTAAAATAAGTGACATTCATTTGTACAATTTAGCTTAGCATTCTCTCAAAAGTATTAGTATATAGGCTGCAGTAGCTCACCAAAATGAGATTAACAGAGATGTCATGGCAGCCAATCTACTGGTCATCCTGATAGATTTCTAAAAGGGTTGATCTCTGAGGCCACTTTGGACTGCAGTCCCACGGACTGACCACACAAACAGAGGTTCCCTCTTCATGTTTACATCAAATGCACATTTAGATCATTTGTAATGACTCCTACACAAAACAGATGTTTCATTAACATCTTGTCACCCTGTGCTTCATGTAACGTGTTTCCGCATCATGTGATCTACATGCATTTCGTGTAACACTGCAAAGCCACAGCCTGTCTGGTAACAGTGGTAGACTGGCTGCTAATCCTCAGCCATCCCTGTAATCACCAACCCCTTGACTACGGCTGATATTGATCACATTATTCCTACCAAACTGATCATTAACATGACTGGCAGTTACAACAAAGAGAAGAAAGCTTGTGCTTTTTCAAAGCTTAGCCCCTCATTACGCATTAAGAGCTGAGCACACTGAATGGGGGAAATTACTCCTCTTTTATCAGCATTGCCCTCTCTCTTCAGAAGCAACATCTTTCATTCATTTCTCTTTCTAATTTTACCCATACTCTGAGCGCATGTTGCTGGCAAGCATGTGCCTTCCAAAAGGCTGAGAGATTAGGTATGATCCTGTAATGTTGCTAATGGAAAGGTTGGCACAGAAATTTGAGTGGTTTTTTTTTTTGTTTGGTGGGAAGGACACAGGTGCCCTTGCAGAGTGATGTGACGTGAGTGGACTGTGAATTTGCCAGGTGGCAGTGAAAGAGAGAATGAGAGGGAGCAATAGAAATGAAGACAGAGGAAAGGAGAGAGAGAAACCATTGAGGGAGTGGAGTCTACAGGGAGGCTGTGTCTGTATACTAGAGCATCTCTCAGTGAATGAGACTGGTAGAATTTTCTGGAAGGCATTCGCACCAAAACCAAATGGGCCACAGTGTGAGTGTTTTATTTTCAGATCAGAGTAATCAGCAGCTGGAAAGAAAAGAGGAGTTCCGTTTTACAGGTTCCCTGGAAAGAACTGTTAAACGAAGCCGGAGCCCCTGTGTTCACACACAGACACCGACACGCATGCACATTGCAGTTTTTACACATATTCAGTCACTGAAGATACCTTTCGGTGTAAGATTTATAGGCGTAGTGATTGGCTTCATCACCCCCCTCCACCATTCTGCGGCACTGCCATTTGCAATAGTTGATGAGCCCCTCCGCCCTCTCAAACATGGCCGTCTAAGGGATTGGGGGTGGGGGAGAAGAGGAAAGGAGGGTGGGCGGCGTAAGGCACGCTGTCCCAGATCACTCCTCCTCCACCTCCTCTATGAGATGCTTATGTTATCCATACACCTCTTCAGGCACTGTTGAAGGTCACTCTAAATGCTTCCCCATTCACCGGTGAAGCCCACTCCCTCAACCATTTCACCTCTGTCATTTTCTACTAAAAGGAGTGACTGAGTGGACTGCCATACTTTATAGTGCTGCGTCAAAAGAGGCGGAGTAGGGGAGAAAATTCAGTTTTTTCGGGCCGGCATCGGGAGGTGGGGACATGACGTGCTGGAGGAATGAGACCATCTATTGGCTGAGCAAGGTGCCAGTCCTGCGTGCTGCTGCAGACGGACAGG